GTCTTTTTTAACTGAGATATTCCTAGCTTCAAAAGACGTCTCTGACTCTGAAAGATATAACCAATCTCTTATTCACGTAAAACAGATAATAAATATATAATAAATAATAAACAGATAATTATAATATTATTATAATAAATAATAAACAGATAATTATAATATTATTATAATAAATAATAAACTCGATCTATCGCGGAAAAAAAATATTACCATTCTAAAAACATTTATCAACAAGTTATAAATTCAAAATTTTGAAATTTTATGGTATTCTTTCTGTTTGTTTTTTCACCCACCCTTTGTTAAAAATGCAATGAAAATATGTTGAAAATGATGTACTTTTTCACTTCTTTATCTTCTTACCGTCAAATGACAATTTTCAATAATTACTCTTCATTTCACTATTTTGCAGAAAGCACAGTGGAGTCGTGAATCTCCGAAACAGGTTTAACAATTGGTTCATAAACATGTAGTAAAATAAACTAAGGCTATTTTACGGTTTAGGAGTTGCATAAGTGAACTTTCTATAACAGAAGACTCACAGTATCTTTAATAAAATATTTGACTATTTTTTAAACTTAATTTATTCGGTCTTAAAGTTTGATTTTAAAATATATGTGTTTCAGCCTAGACATTACCAACACCAGCAGAAAGCTAATAACATTATGTTTGCAATAACTTACCATTTTCGTCCGGTTCTGTCTCATCAATGTAGATCATATTCAGTTTTTCTGAAACGTGAAAATATCTTAAACTTTTTCTTATCCCAAGCATTTAAATAATAAGTAGTGATTCTGACATTATTAAATAAATACAAAGGTTTCAGTCAATGTTCTATCCCTTTTCTCATTGGTTTCATTGAATAAAGCATTGTAAAAATGTTATAACTGTTTGCATAATATAGCTTTATAATTCAATGTGCAGTATTTTTTTTATACATTTCCGCTGGTGCAGCACGTGACATGACTAATAATAAAAACGATGAAAGAATGCTTGAAATGAGTACATGCTGGTTTAGGCCAACATCCAAATGACAAAGGAAATGTTACTTTCTAGCTAATGTACAACAAGCGTCAATTTCAGGTCTGGTGAATTCAATATACAAAGTAAAATAGCTGCTAATTTTAAGATAGTTGATTTTAAAAATGCTTGTTTATGTAAAGAATTTGTATAATCATGCTTTAATACGAACTTATTGCTAACCAGTTAGTTTATGAAACCTCTAAACTCTATTCAGACGAAAATAGCAGCTTTTTCTTGTGGTAATCTAATGTTTTCTAATCCGGAGATCGAACGTGGTACATCTCACATGCCGAGTAAGGCCTATATATACTGAAATAAACTATTAATCCCATAATTACTGCTAGTAAGAAATTTTTAGTCTTAGGATTATCTACGTGGTCCTCAAATTGATCTCATCGGCTTTTTAGATATACTTTTCTAAACTATTTATAAACCAACTTGTTTGTCAATTTATGCTTTGTTTGCTAAAGGATCTCTAATAAGACAGTGTTGACAAAAATATCATCAATATTGCGATTAATCCTATTAGTGTCTGCTGGGGCTCACTGTCTACCTTACGCAAACAATAAACGATTTCATCCAACATTTTTGTTCAGATTTATTTATACAACAAATGGTCTAACAGGGAACAAAGAGACAAAATACACTCAATATGATGCGGAATGTTGACCCCACCGGTAGTCATTAATTGTAGGGTTAAATTACATGCTTCCTACGTGACATTTTCAATTCTCCAATATTTTATAAATTTTTCATGCAATAATTATATAAGTTAAGTCCCCCCCCCCCAGTGGTACAACGGTATGTCTGCAGACTCACAACGCTAGAATCCGGGTTTCGACACCCGTGGTGGGCGGAGCACAGATAGCCCATTGTGTAGCTTTGTGCTTAATTTCAAAGAAACAAAAAAGTTAAGTCACAACGAAATGAAAGGGTTTAAGATTTTTGATAATTTCTTTTTTGGATCTATCTAAAATATTTTCTTAGAAAAATAAGAAAACATCATTGAGTATTATTAACTTTATTCAGATGGGAGTTGTTTATATTATTAACTTTATTCAGTTGGGAGCTGTTTATCCAGTTGTTCATCGCAAGTAAGGGTGAGAACATATCTTTACGAGCTGTTTATATTATTAACTTTATTCAGTTGGGAGCTGTTTATCCAGTTGTTCATCGCAAGTAAGGGTGAGAACATATCTTTACGAGCTGTTTATATTATTAACTTTATTCAGTTGGGAGCTGTTTATCCAGTTGTTTATCGCAAGCAAGGGTGAGGACATATCTTTACAAAAAACTTTTTGATGGAAACATTTAATGTTAGCACGTATCAAACAATTTATTCATTATCACACATAAGAGCCACACCAAAGTTCAGAATTGTGGTATGAAAATGTTTAGTAGAATGGCTTCGTCTCCAACTAGAAAACTTAATTAAATATTAGTTGGAGCACATTATTTTATTGTACATAATTATAACAAAAATGCATTCGGTTTGATCTCTAGCAGGAAGACTTACAGCGCATGTCAAATATCACTATCTAGGTTCCTTTAATCATTAACACATTATTTAACCTCTCTTTTCTAGTATACGTCTTTAGCATCCAACCCATCAGGTTTACTAAAAATATTTATCAAATCTCCTTTCCGGAAAAAATAAACATTTGTGAAATTAATCCCAGTTCAAGGTCTGATGCTTATTCTTTAAGATACATTCTGTTACAGAAGATTAAAGAGGCTCACGTCATGCAGATCTTATTTATGTAAGCCAGGGTCACCTTGCCAAAAATACTAACAGAAGACAAAGTTGCTGCTCTGAAACTTTGTTTCAGTTATGTAGACTGACGTCTAATAGAAAACAAGCTCTCGTTTATCACACACACACGTATAAGCTGGACATAGTTTATAATCGACTGCAAAACACGCCCTAAGGGAACACAGCGAAACGTTTTTCTTCAAATATATGCATGCTATTTGAATAACGCACACAACCCTGTGCAAAAAGCGAAAGATCTGGAGAGCGATTTCAAGCATCAATCTATCACCTCAGCAAATATAGGGAAATGTAGTTCATATGAAATGCAGTAATTCCTGCTCTTCATTACAGTCATCGCCCTCCTAGACGTAGGTGTTACTGTATCATGTATCGCAACCCGATTTTAATCCGAGGAGTAAATACAACTAACAATCAGCATTTAGAAACCTTTAATATTATTCAAAGAACTTTATTCCCCCATGAAATTAACTCGCTTAATGTTATTCTTTGAAGCGGAGCCACAACAAAAGGGTAAAATAATAATATTTTTTACGTCTTTTCGAGTGACTTTCTTTTAGATGTGGTAAGGTTATAATAAAAAAACCACTTAGAGGACCACGAGCACACACTGCCCCCAACAGAAAAACTTGTAGCAACAATAAGATTCAAACTATTTTGGTTATACCGTCAAATGAATTTAGTAATTTGATAAAGAGTAGACATGGGACATAAATATACTGTAACGTTTGTGACTAGAGAATAAACTTTGTTATAGAACTTTACTTTAGGAACTGAGTTAATGGGAGGAAGCTTCACATTTCAAATGTAGAATAAATGATTTATATCATGTAACTTGGAATCTATTTAAAATAAAATAACAATTTAAATAATTTTAAATTCTTCAAATGACCGTTACATTTGACAAATCAACTAGACATTCAGAACTCTATTGTTTATTTTGCTGTCAAAGATAACTGTGAATAATGGGCTATCTGAGCTATGCACATAACAGGGATTGAATCCCGAATTTTAGCGTTATAAGCCCTCAAGCTTACCACCCAGGACTTCTATTTTTATCTTTTTTTTTTTTTTTGGAAACGTCTCTTCAGCAACCCGTTTATTCTTTTGTAGAATGTCTGATGTCATAAAAGTGCCTTCTGCTAGAAACGCCCCCGGTGGCTCAGCGATAAGTTTGATGGGCTTATAACGCTGAAAATTGGGTTTTCATATCCGCGATGGGCAGAGCATAGATAGTCCTTTGTGTAGTTTTGTGCTTAATAACCAAACAACCACAAAATTCTCAGTAACTTAGAATTAAGTTTTTCTCGATCTTAATATATATAACTAGTTATTTAAATGCACATCTATGTACTACTAGTTTATTTTTATTACAATCTACAGAATTATAACCGTTTAAACTTTACAACATAATGTAGATTTAGCCTTTGTAACATTATATATATATATATAATACATTCTAATAATTTCTGATTTTCCTTTATTACCACGTGTTTTCAATGCAAAAAAATAAATAAATAAAACTGATAAATACAGACTGATAATTCTTTAGAAGAATTATCATACTAATTTATCAGTTTAAAGTTTTCTTAATTTAATTAGTGTAGTGTAATTCACAACGGGTTGAACTAAAATTGGAGATTTTATTTTTTATAATGTCTATCCTAATGAAAATGTTGAAAAAAAAATAACTGCAAGTATTATCTATTTAATTATTACGTAAATACACTACCAAACTGTTCTGAAAGCATAGATAAAAAGTAATATTCGTACCTGTGTTTGAGGTGTAATTCAAAGAATCAACTGAAAATGCTTGTTGCTTGTTTTTGAAAACGTTGACGACCACTAACGTTAATGCTAGAGTTCTCCCATGATACCACTGCCACAGAAAACACCAAGTCTTTTCGTGATCAGATTGTTGGATTTGGCACAACAAAGAGATATTCCCAGTATCACGTGACTTTAGCTTTTAAAAATAGCACGCCTCTTTTGTAAGACCGAGGAAGCCTAGCGAGTTGGATTGCCTAGTGAGGACCTTAGGAAACAGGAAGTTACTGTATTTTACGTAGTTTCAAAGAAAGTGAGACTCCAGAAAAAGTTCTCTTTGTTAACACCGTTTGAAAGTACCAGATGAATGCTATCTATGTCAGGTTTCAAATTAAGTATTTCAGTTTGCATCAAACATCACATGTCATTTAGCCTAACTTATAATGTCTTCAACCGTATGACTACTGTTCTATCTGCAATGATGCAAACCACACAGTCTTAATAATTTGAATAACATTATATTCAATGTTCTGCCCAGCAAGATGCAAAGTTGATGCATTTTATAAACTATAGATTACAATATTCAGCTTTCTACGCACCAAGGTAAAACAAAGATACACACATTTTATAAATTGGTGATTATGGCATTGAATTTTCAGCCCGCCAGTGTGCAGATTATATACATTTTATAGTAGATTATACTATTCAGTTTTTGTACACTGAAGTGCAAGTTACACACATTTTATAAATTGAGCATTATAATATTCGGCTTTCTATCCATGTGCCCCCAAGTGACTCAGTGGTAAGTACGAAAACTTATAATGTTAAAATCCGGGTGGGCACATTGTAGAGCTTTGGGCTTAATAGCAAATAAATTATAGTCAAGATGCAAACTACACGACCTATTCAGGCCCTAAATGGTGCTTCATAAAGCTGTTACCTGCACTTTTATATAAAGAACATGCCCTCCCATCACGAATTCAGAACACACACTCTATCTCTATGTATATATATATATATATCTTACTAATCGATCTCTCCATATGAGTATGAATATTTCGTTCAGAAAAGAACTCGTCACCTGAAATCTCTGAGCTTACGATAGCTAACAATACAAAATATAACTTCATTCCATTAAGGAAAGGTTTTTCCTATAACTTACTTGTAACGCTAAAAATCGGGTTTCGATACACGCGATGGTTCTCTGTGTTCAAAACAACTGTTTATATGAAATTATATATACAAATTTCATTACCCAACTTAAATTAAATGTATTCTAACACTCACTGGACTCCCTAAGTTTACCCACCTCTTATGCTCTGGCATAACACTCACTGGACTCCCTAAGTTAACCCACCTCTTATGCTCTGACTTAACACTCACTGGACTCCCTAAGTTAACCCACCTCTTATGCTCTGACTTAACACTCACTGGACTCCCTAAGTTAACCCACCTCTTATGCTCTGACTTAACACTCACTGGACTCCCTAAGTTAACCCACCTCTTATGTTCTGACTTAACACTCACTTGACTACCTAAGTTTACCCACTTCTTATGCAAAATAATACCACGCCCGGTACTTAGAGAAATGAAATAACGATGCTCAAACTTAAAGACGTACAATGAAAACCTATCGTAAGTTTATGATTTAAGTCACTGGAATTCTAAATGAGTGAAATTCAACATGTTCGTTTTCAAAAGTTATCTTTTTCATTAACGGTGTTTCAAAACCTCTGTTTTCTTAATGTCAATGTGATCATTTGAAAAATTATTGTATTGAAACAGTTTTTATTGTGTTTGTGTTTTATTTTTTTGGCATACCCCTGTGGGACAGTGGTATGTTTACGGCCTTACATCACTGAAATTCGATTCCCTGTTGTGGACACGGCATATAACCCGATCTGGCTTTGCTCTAAAATAAATAAACAAATAAGTTGACCTTGCCCCCCGTACATATTTTCTAGATCTCGTGTTACCATTAAAAAAAAAAAGTTGACCTTGATCCCGATAGCTCAGGGTTAAGCTTGAGAGCATATAACGAAGAAAATCACGGTTCAATACCTGCGGTTGGCACAGCGCAGACATCCCATTATGTAGCTTTGGGTTTAAACAAACAAAAAATTAATTTTAAGGGGTCTCGTTCTATCATGACGGAAAAGGTCAACTTAAAACGTAACTATGACGTATATGGGAGCTCTGAAACCAAATTTATATTTAAGAAGATAAAAACTTCTCTTAACACCAAAACCTGTAATCAGAAATTAATTTGTAAACTTTTTATTAATGTTGGAGGGTAGACATCAGGGTTACAACAATTTAGCATGTGGTAGCCCTACTCTAATGATGGTAGTCTATTACTATTGCCCTCCAGTGGCACAGCGGTATGTCTGCGGACTTACAACGCTAGAAACCGGGTTTCGATACCCGTGATGGGCACATCACAGATAGCCCATTTTGTAGCTTTGTGCTTATATTGCCCTGCAGTGGCACAGCGGCATGTCTGCGGACTTACAACGCTAGAAACCGGGTTTCGATACCCATGATGGGCAGATAGCCCATTGTGTAGCTTTGTGCTTAATTACAAACAAACTATTACTATTATTTCATTTTTAAAATATATATTTCACTGATCATGCTTGCTGTGTATTACCATTTACAATACAATTACATATGGCAATAAACACACACACAAAAATAAATTATGTCATGATACAAAATTATAAGCTTCTAACTTCAAACTGTTGCCGTTCGATGGCAATGCATCATGTTAAGGAAACAATTTACGTTATGTACTTGTACGTAAATATTACACGTGTATTTCAGCTTATACACTTTGTTTGTTTGTTAGTCAGCACAAAGTTACACAATGGGGTATCTGTGCAATGCCTACCCCAGGTTTCGAAACCCGATTTTGAGCGTTACAACCTTTCAGACTTACCGCTAGCCCACCGGGGGAGCTATACAGACTCGCCTTTAGGGCGGCAAAAATCGATAAACAAAAATAAAATTAATATAAAAAAAAACATATAATCGACTATTTCGCTCTCTTTGACCTGTCTTACTGACTGATAAACTGTGCTCCTAGACACAGACAGTGTAACAAAATCAATCCGATAATAACAAGCCTCTACTAATTTCAGTAAATAACATTTTAAAAAGTGCTTCAAAAGTCTGCAGCTGAAAACAAGAAAAATCAATTATTTTAAATCTAAGCAGTTCGAAGTAAGTTTGTTTGTTTTGAATTTATACACAAAGCTACACAATGGGCTAGTTGTGCCCACCACGGGTATCGAAACCCGAATTCTAGCGTTGTAAGTCCGCAGACATACCGCTGTGCCACTGACACAAATAGCCTTACTAAAGTAAAAGTTTACTACAAATTACGATATTTTGTTCATGCAATGTCACATATACATGTATGTTTGCAGATGATAATGGTACACGGAATTTCTTCGAGGATTGGCCGAGTGTGGCTAAGTTGTCGCGTGTCAGAATGTAGATCCAAGAGACCTCTGTCGGCGTCTCATTGGCGTAAAAAAATCACGCTCTGGAGATTTGAATGTCTTATGAAAAAGTCGAATCCCACTATTCTATTAGAGTTGGAGTTGGGTGGTGTCGAATAATTGCCTTCCTTCTAGTTTATTCGCTCAAAGTTAAGGACGTCTGTCCGCAGACAATATTTCTTGTACGGCTTTCTGCGAATATCCAAAGCAAACCAAATCAATTCGCCAGGAACAAAACTTTAAAATCTTGCCTTAAAGTGGCAAAATGTATAAATCTCGCATTAGCTCAGCATCCTTCAAGAAGAGAGGTGGACAGCAATAAAATGAAAAAAGGGATAACATCATACAGAGTGAAATTAAATGTAATAGCTAATATACTGGCCCGACATGGCCAGGTGGTTAAGGCACTCGACTCGCAATCTGAGGGTCGCGGGTTCGAATCCCTGTCATACCAAACATGCTCGCCCTTTCAGCCGTATGGGCGTTATAATGTGATGGTCAATCCCACTATTGGCAAATAGTGCCCACGTTGGCAAAAGAGTAGTCCAAGAGTTGGCGGAGGGTGGTGATGACTAGCTGCCTTCCCTCTAGTCTTACATAGATTACTACTTTGTTTGGCACAATTTAATGTTGCTAAATGATGTATACTTTCGTTGCTTTTCGGACCTCAATAAAATAGTTATATTATGACGATGTTAATTTTTACAAATTAAACAAGACAGAAGCCTGATATTAATTTTACACCGTTAGTGAAAGACCTATCTTATTGTTTAATTTTACCTCCAAAAGCTCACATTATTTCTAAACAATAAACTGCTAACTCTTCTGTAACTGTAGAGCACGCTGCATTTTACTTCGATCTGTTTCTTTTTCAAATACAGCATTCCTCAGTCTTAAAAGTAGTATTAATGTTTTTAGCTTTTTTTTTTTTGGTTATAAACAGTGTTCGTGTAGTATTAATGTTTTTAGCCTTTTTTGGTTATAAACAGCGTTCATGATGTCACATTCGGGATCATTTATTTACTTAACTTCATAAGGACAGTTTGTTATTTTTCAGTAAATGATTTTTCTGAAACAAACAAACAAACAAAAAACAGTTAATACAAAATCCTATTTAGGTTATAAAGGTGGGTGTGACATGAAAAATCAAACACAAGAACTACAACTAGTCAATCGCACATTCAAGCCTAGTGGTGTGACGCGTAGCAGGCGATTATGTTTAGCATCTATATACATGTATGTGGTTCATATAGCGAATTCCTGAACGTTCGACAGCGCCATGCTGCCAGGATACTTTATGGCTGGATGACTATATCGCAACATTTTCCCGCGGAATAATATTCGTGAAACTACTGTACTATAAACATTTATTAAAATTAAAAACAAAGATAAAAAAAATCACAAACATTAACATATTAATATATTTTTAGTACAGTATATTAGCTTGTTTGTTTTTGAATTTCGCGCAAAGCTACACGAGAGCTATCTGCGCTAGCTGTCCCTAATTCAGCATTGTAAGACTAGAGGGAAGGCAGCTAGTCATCACCACCCACCGCCAACTCTTGGGCTACTCTTTTACCAACGAATAATGGGATGGACCGTCACATTATAACGCCCCCAGTTATTTACTGACCT